GAAGGGGAGGGGGAAGCAGGAGAGGGGTTGGGGGGGGTGTCCAGCCACGGCCGGCCTGGGCCAGGCCAGGGATGCTGGCCCTTGAGAGGGGGAGCCGAGGCCTCCCTCCCCTCGGGTGGCCTGTCTCCTTGCAGAAGCAGCATCAGCATCAGAGGCGCTGCTGCTGCTGCTGGGATGAGGCTTCTGTGGCTGCCAGAGGAGACGAGGTGGGGGGGGAGGGCGGAGGGAGCAGGCGCTGCTCCTCAACCCTATGAAATATTCACCTTGTTGTGTTGTGCCGGTTCCCTGCGCGATCGATCAGAGCCCAGCCAGCCAGGGAGGGCTGCTGGCGAGGGAGGGGGCCGGGAGAGCAGTGGGGCAGGCAGGCAGGCAGGCAGGCAGGCAGGCAGGCAGGCAGGCAGGCAGGCAGGCAGGCAGGCAGGCAGGCAGGCAGGCAGGCAGGCAGGCAGGCAGGCAGGCAGGCAGGCAGGCAGGCATGCTGAGGGGAGGAGGGGCCCCCGGCCCCCTCCCTGTGGCAGGAGTGGGGCAGCCTCTCTCCTCCCCACAAGCTGGGGTGGGGGTGGGGGAAGGGGGATCTCCATCTGCACCTCAGCAGGACAGAAAGCGCCTGATCCGTGGACCGGATCCCGTGGCCTGCCCTGCAGGAATGTCGGCTTGTCTGCCCACAAGGGGGGGGGGGAAATGCTGCACAAGATAAAACCTCAGCCCTTCCCCTCTTAATGGCACAGCGTTGCTGTAATAAAGTGTTTCTGCTTTAGAAAGTGGACTTTTTGGGGGGATGGGGGTGGCAGATTCAAGAATCCCCCCCCTGGGGGGGGGCTGATTGTGAGGCTCTGCCCTCCTTGCTGAGCAAAGAGCCCATCTTGTCAGATGCAAGGATAAAAACATGGACAGATAAGCTCTACCTTCACTCCAGAGAGGGGAACATGTGCGCTCTCCGGAATAAAAGGGTGGCCATCGTGCCCGGGCGGGGCGAGCCCCTCCGTGAATAAGGCCAGCTCTGCTTAGCTTGACTGGGAAAGAGCAGAAGGGCTAAAAGTAGCCCCCCCCCGGGGGGGCACCCTCAGCCCTATCCCCCAATTTTGTCTCCCAGACGGAGCTGCGACAGGCGGTCCCTCGCCTTGCTTGCCGCTCAGCCTCTTCTGGGAGACCCTGGACCTGTTTGATCAGGGCGGCTGCTTGGCACCCACCGCTGTGGCCGCGGGCGCAGGCGAGGGGGAGCGGGGCCCAGTTGCCCAGCAGCCGGAGCCGGAAAAGAGCACCCCGCTCTGTCCACACCAGGTGCAGAAGGGACCCCGGGAACCAGTCTTGTTCCCATGCAAATCTCCTTTGGCTGAAGGGACGGGAGGAGCGGCTTTTGGGGTTCTGGACGCAGGGAACCGGCTCCTCTCTTTCCACGACCCCCCCTCGCCAGGACTCCGAGGCCGGTCCGAAACTGGCTGCCGGTGGATTTATTTATAAGCCCCTTCTTCTCCTCTGCCAAATGGCACTTCATGTGCCCTCAGCTCCACACAGGGAGAGAGCACAATGGGAAGGCCCATGAAATATTTAAACCTAAAAGCAACCCTAAAAACCAGGGAGGGGAGGGGAGGGGAGGGGGGAGTCACCTCTTCCAAACTCTAACCAAACAAACTTTGCAGCGCGGGGCACTCAGGACCCCTTGGCCCCACCCTGAGGAAACGTCCTCTGCTCAGGAGGAGGCCACCTGGTTCCATCTTGTTGTATTCCCCCCCCTTTCCGCACACATGCATACCAACCCCTCCCATTAGGAGAGAAGGGGGACAGGAGATGCACTTCCACACAAACACCCTTCTGTCTTGACGGGGTGTTTGTGCATGTATGGGGGGGGGGAGAGAGGGATAAAACAAGATGGAAAGGTGGCCTCCTTTTTTGCCACAGTATTTTACTAATTTCCATATATATACACATGGAAATTATATATATGGAAGCTGGTAAGATCTTGCAACAAGCCCCCCCCCTCCCCATCCCACCTGAGACTCTTGTAGCACCTTACAATCTCGTTTGCTTTATCTGGAATGAGCTCCCGTGGGCTGTAGTCCATTTCCCCCCCCCAAAGGTCCCGGAAGGGGGTGGCCAACCAAATCCTTCCTGGCGGCACAGGACCCTGGCTGTCTATCCCCCCCCCCCCCCCCGCCACCCCCCCTCTGGGCGGAGAGGCCTCCCTCCCTCCCTCCCCAGGCGGGCCGTGACGGAGGAAGCTCGCCGGCTTGCCGAGGGGCTCCTTCAACTGGGCTTCGGGGAGGCCACGAGCGTTCCCTTCCCTCGGACTGCCCCAAACCGAGCTTCGGGCCAAGGAGGGGTGCTTAACAGGGCAGGGGAGGGCAGGGGAGGGGGGGCTCTGAGACTCCAATGGGGGGGGCTGTGAAGCTCAAAGCAGCCCAGGTTCAGAGCAGGATGGAGCTTCTTCCACCCGCTTGTCTGAAAAAAACTAAAGTGGGCCACAGCCGCTTCTGGGCCCTTCTTCCTTCTGAATGGATTGCCGAGGGAGCAGGAGATTCCCGAGACCTGGGAAGAAGCAGAAGGAGGGGCCCGTGGCCCAGATCCCCACCTTCAGCAAAGCCATGCTGATGGGAAGGCTGGGAATTGTAGTCCAGAAAGGGATTCCTCTCCCCCCC